GGTGGCCTTAGCCTTCGCCCACTATCTTCAAATTCGAAGGCCCTTTGATCATCAAAAAGTTCTTTCACTACGAACCGTTCAGGTAATCAAACCAAGCGTTCTTGTTTCAATGTAACTGACTTTATTCCAATTTATTATACTCTATCATGTATCATTATCATTTTGTATCATTTCAGATCGTAATATTCTTCATATGGGCCGTTCCTCCTTTGGCACTTATCATCTACTTTAGTAGTTGGCCAGGACAAGGCTATAGGTATGTGGAAACTCATTTCCGTGGAATTTCTCATTAGCCTTCAATTTATGAGAACCATTGGCAATTACATCAAATAAAGTAATGTAATGTAATTTAATATAGTCTAATGTAATAAAATGTAAACGTGAAAGCGAGTAATTTTTATAGAGGTTGGTAATAAGTTGAGCTCAGAAGGCCAGCTTTCTCAGGCATGCATAAAATGAAGGCGTAGAGGGAAATCTATTATTACAAAGTCTGGATATGCATGTGCATTAGGAATATTTCAAAATTCTAAGGGTATCTCTATAATGAATTAAGTCTGAAAGATAAGGTCTTCCGTGATAAACAGTCCAGTGTTGGAATGCGCCCCCACATTTGACTTCCATTCAGAACCCTAGTAAGGGCCTACTGAAGCGTATGTGGCCTATACAATCACCTACGGTGGCCAGACTATGTACAGTCGAGCTTTCTTCCTCCCAGACGAATCTTCTACCGATTAGGCGATCCAAAATGGATAGAATGCGTGGTTGGCCTTGGCGAGAATCGATCCGGAACGATCCGCGTACCATACGAGCGTGATTGTGCGCCATTTGCCACCACGCCNGTGAATACAATACGAGTACAATTTGATTGTACCCTCTCGAGCCAGCCCGGGTGCTCTTCCTTTCGGGGTCGATTGATTGGTACCATGCGTGAGCATGGAAGCACTGACTTGTACATCGGTTGGCCACTGCAAGTCATTGTAAATATAAGCCACTAACGATGAAAATGGATACTCCTTAGAGGGAGCTTAGATTGGACAATTTAAGAAGTGACCGCAATCTATGTCTTCCTCTCAGTTTTCCAACCCGAAGCCATTTGATCCTCAAAATGTTATCCGTATGGAATCACAGTATCAATTAAATTCTTGGAAAGTGTATGTATGGCTGCAAAGTAATCAGGATGGGGAAAGTATTTGTTGATGACGCATTTGGTACTGAGTAATGTCAAGACAATCGTACATAAGTGACTCATTCCACGTTAATCAGGGCTTAATCACTCTACTTCCGCCATTGAGAAGCTCTTGGAATTAATTTCACCTTTGTTCTGTGCTCGATATACCCTTTTCTCATACGAGCATCTCCAGGGGAACTACTCTGCTGAAGGATCTCTGCAAACTCAGTTTTTCCCGCCGTGATTGTTCAGGGCCTATGCTTCCAGCAGGGCGGTTTCAGTTATTAAAACATTTTTTGTGTAGCCTGATTCAAAGACCTGAATAACTGGATTAAAAGGTACAGTAGTAGAGGTAACAATACAGGGGAAAATAAACAGAATTGAGCCAAATGAAATTCTTTAGCGATTCATCGTGTAGAGGGCAGGAGAGTTGAAGGGGTACACATCAGAGTGAGCTCTACATGAGAAAGACTTTTCTTCTTGTCCAGTTCCCAAGTGACTCTTCTATCCGAAGAAACAGAATTTTCCCATTAAAATCTACGGCAACTCAAAGGAGTTACCTATATCAGGTTGAAATTTTCATTGCAATCTTGCCCACCCAAGCATTGGATCGTAGAAGAGTTTGGGGAGGAATCGAATTGTATGCTTCAGGGTGTACGCCTTGGTAGTCACTAGTATCACTAGGATCCTTCCCGAGTCCTAAATGGTCTATTACGGCCTCGAGATGATGACTACTTCTCCCATTCGGATATCGGACAAGAAATACCGTTGTGGTAAACATACTCAAAGTGGTGTAAGAGAGATTATTGTAAAGGTTAATACGAAGTAAAAGTAGCTTGTAATAAACGATAATATTGACTGACGTGACAGGAAGTAGTGATATTTATATGTATAGAGCTAATACTGATGGAGTAGAGAAAAACAACTTAGGGATAAAATTAGGTATAGTGGCAATAACTGATGATATTTATGTTTATAGGACAGCTGTTAGCTGAAATGTTTATGTGAAACGATGACTTGCTTGAGCGACCACATGCCCATGAATTTACCAAACAGGGATCTACATATGTTTTCGGAAGTAGACGTCTACTTGGCGTCTACTTCGGTAGCAACCATAAGCCGCAGGAACTCAGGTTCTACAGTTCTGGCGGGAGACAGGCAGTAGGAACGGTTTTGTGTAATCGATCCGCCGCACGCGGCTGTCGCGGACAAATTGCCTCGTTATAACAGTTCTAGCGATCTTCATAGAGCACAATCGCCATGCGATTATTACTTTTGGCATGATTCTATGGTAAATCTTTTATTCCTAAATTTCTTACTTGCTGCTGCATACTGCTACATTCCTTCGCGCGCGGCGATTCTATCGCCGCGACGCGACAATTTCGTTCCTACTGCACTACACCTCAGATCTGGCCGATTTCGGATTTAGATTATTTGAAAAATTCGAAAAGAGACTAGTAGGATAAAGGAAAAATAAAGAAAACTGCGTATTTCCATTGGAAATTCGTTTATAGAAGTATTTCTGTAAAAGTATTTTGATTGGTGTCAAAATCAATGCTTGTGTAGTTGAGTTTCGATACGATCTCGATCATATGGTCTTGGGAGAGTCACTTAAGAAAAAGGGGTCCATGAAAAGGGACGTAAAGCCCTTCGCCTACACTTCGTACCATCTCTGCAGACGAGTCATAAATTATTGGTTGCTTCATCAACTAGCAGACGAAACTGTTTTGAGTAATTAGATGTCTGAGGGCTAAAGTTGATCTTAAGGCCATCGAAGAGGCAAAGATGACAGTTGTCTAGCTGGTTGTTAGCTTAATGAGCACTTCGAATCTCGTAGTTTCGTTGATGAATAGCCACCTTCTCAGTAACAATTACGTCTAAGATGTTTGCATAACGAGGAATTGACGAATACTTCTCGAGACGAATGAATACGTCTCGTTTACGGGTCTACAGAAATCATAGTTGAGGTTTTTTCCGCCAGGGACCTACCTGAACCCTACCCCTGTTCGAACCTTTACATTTCAAAGTTGACAAATTTTAGAAGACACTCGAAGTGAACCCTTTTTTGGTCAAATTTAAAATGAATGTGGTTGGAAATTCGTTCCACTCGACTCTGCTCCGATTCGGGGAATATTTGATCTTCTGATTTGGGAAATATTTGATTAGGCTTTTAATCTGTCATGGCATCCGGATGCTTGGTTATTGATTACGGACTATAAAATACTTCCGAAGCCATCCGTAAGTCCGTCAAACTCGGTAATCAAAGAGTCTTGAAGTTATGATAAAGGATTCGGCTAATCTGATAAGGATTGGATTAGGGTTTTGAGTCAGTGACTGGCGTGAGTTTATGTCAACCACCGTCAAGCTGCAGATGCTTCACATCCACACATATCAGATTGAGGGTCATGACCATTACTACACAAGTCAAGTTTCAGAAGAATTGCTGATACTGACTGATAGTGGAATGGGTGGTATTCTGGGGTGTCAGGTTTTGATACATGGGTCTGCGACTCCCAGCTCAGTCCCTCCGCAGAACGCATTCTCAGGGTAGACTAACGTAGAACTAATGTAGAGATGCTGTTCATCGCCATCAGCTAAAATGAGCAGTCGCCTTTGCAATACTACTGTGAAATGTTCACCCTTGGCCTCCTGAATTACCTGGTGTTTCTCCCTTGATTGGAGAAGACTCCAAAACCAAAGGCTGAACGGCACGTGACGGAGTTTGTAACCAGAATCGCCTCCAAGTCAATTTCTTTAGGGTCAGGCTAGGTACATCGAGGTGGAGTCTCTTATACCTGATATGTGAACTGTGCCCTACCCCAGTAATAACCAGTTATGCGTATGTCTCTTAGAAATTGAGGTGCACATGTTCCTCGTAGTTTAAAAATCCCTTCTGTATAGGAGAGGTATTTTTGGCTTTTTGGTCGTGGTGAGAAGTACAGCTAACAAGAGGGGGCGAAGTGGGGACAGTTAGTAATAGAGGTGAAGTCGGAACAGCTTACAATAGGGGCCAAGGGTCAGAGTCATGTGGCCATAAAGCTTCTCGGTGATTTTTTGGCAAACTTTTGCGGTTTGGTTTGTTGTTCAGCGAGTGGGAATGCATATAACAATGTACTTCTATTTGCTGATGCTCACTTCGGGTTATGGCACTTTCCTCATCAACTTAGTAACCGTACTTCCCAGTAAAAATGAAAGCCATGGCTTTGTTTTTCTTCTAACAATGATTAATGGTTCTTGAGGGAAGATTTTTAGTGTGTTTGTTCTCAACAAATCATAGACCATCTCCATGGCTACATCCAGATCTTTTTGTCTCGTCTTTTACATCTAGTTATCGGACCATTAAGCGAAACAGTTCGAATCTGAAAGTGATACACCTGAGAGGGGAAATGTAAACACAGTCAGCTTCTCCCTATCCTATTTTAGTTTACCAAAAGCTTATATTCGATAATGAGTTTTTAAATCAAAAATAGGAGGTAGTGCTTGACGATTGCGATTACTATTTTTACCTTAGAAGCCTCAACAATTGCCTAAGCCCAGAAAAATTCCCAATCTCTTAATTGCTCTGAGCATGCCAAGTCCATGAACNTGGGGAGCAGAAAATGAATTTTTTTTATAAATCCAATCTTACTTTATTTCATTTTGGTACTAAAATCAACTTTTTCAGGAACGAAGCCTGTATCAACAAGTCATTCTACGAAAATTTCTACTTTCGTGCTCAAATATCACTAATTATAATTGTCCTAATGATCACTACAACTGTACTATACTGGAAAATGCTTTCCGAAGTCAGCGAGGTGAGTAAACTTGTTAGATGCCGAATTCAGAACGTCCTTCGAAAAATTTTTAAGGTTGTACCGCAAAACCCTAAATTTCCCTTGACCATCCTCTTTAGCTGTCAGAACCGGACACTGGTACAGGCTTACAGTATCTGCCCTTCTTTGCCTTTTCATCTAGTAGGACCTTACTATTTTTGTCCATCTAGTAGGACTTTACTATTTTTACACTAGGAGCCTTATCATTAAGCTTAACACGAAAGTTAGAGATGAGCTTTTAAATTGATTCTCGATCCTTTCGACTAATCATTTCGGCGGGTTTGTTTACTTACTCTGAAAAGCAATTTTGCCCTTAGGCCAAATAAATAGTCGCCTTATACCAAGAGAAGGGATTCCTTTTGATCAAACAGCACTTTCCATTTTATCTACCTTCCAATTTCATCCTTTTCTCTCTTTCCACCATTCGCTCCCTTCATTTATTTCCTCCTTTCTCTGTACTGTTTCCAACTTCCTTCATTTATTCGTTCACTTTGTTGACCCATCACCAGCTCTCTCTCATCCATTTACTTGTTTCATTCGTATTCGCTAAAGGGTAATGGACGAAGTCTTTGGGCGTTTGTTGATCCCGTCCGAGGGATGCGCCTTGCATTCGACTTACAATCAGGATCAAAGAGGCTGATTTGATAAAGTAGCCTTCAAGATGGCTTGCAGTGACCAGCTGATGTAGAAGTCAGTGCTTTCATCCCTTCAGACGAGTCTGGTACCAATTAAGCGACCCTAGAGGGGTGAAAAACTTGGTTGACCTAGGCGGATATCGATGCCGGATTCGAACCCGCGACCATGCGTGTGTAATAGTGCTTCACTTGCCACTATACCATCAAAACCAATAAATCTTTTGGATGTGATTTCACCATTTCTTTTTCAATCTTCTCCCAATAGTCTCCTTTCCTCCTGCGTTCACTCATTCATCCTAGATTCCTAACTCTTTCTATTCGTTCTTTCATTCAATCAAAGAACGTCCGAGGATTTATGATCGGTATGAACATCATCACTTTTTCTGTGCCTTCATCATGTTTCTCTGGCGGCCCTAAAAAACCATTTGACACATCACGTTACTTAAGTAAATGAACAAAAAGCAAAAAGTGTGTGGGTTTTGTCATGTGCATTTTTGATGTTATGCACATTTCATTATACAGCAGACAACGTTGACCGAGAATTGGATTTCTCCCCGGGACCAAAGAGTTTCAATAAACTTTCAAAACTGGGTTACGAATGCTTGGGTTCGGCGTTCTCTTTACAGTGTGATGACGGGTCCTTCTAGATTGTCCCTAGAGAGAAAATCAGACCTCAGCAAATTCGGGAAAGCCCTATTGGGGAAACATTTTTAGGGCCATTTCTTTATCGAGCAGCGTTTACTGCTCAGAGAATTTTCAAATTGCTCTTCTATCCGGGTCTGCCATTGCTCTGTCTGAGCGTGGGCGGTCGTATAAGACTGGGAAAAGCGAGAATGCTTTGGCGCGGGGGGGGGGGGGGGTGAAAAAGGCCCGCCGCTTTTTTTGGCAAAATCTAAGCAGCTTTTGAGTTTGTGAAAAACGTTTCCTAAATGGAGGGCTTCTGAGATTAGCACAGAAGACTTAAAGCTGGAGATGTCTTTTTTTTGAAGCCCACAACGTTTTCCAGACGCATGTGGGAGTTGAAACGATGAATAAATCAAGAGCAGCGCCAGCCCTTTTAACACAAATGGAAGTTTTCTGTAGTTTCAGCTTGCATCGTATGTGGGAAGAGAGCATGCATTACAACGAGTTTTATGTGCAGTATATTCCGAAGTACGACAGTCATAACCCGGGGGATCGAATCCGGGATCGCCTGATGAATCGACCCTGGCCAACCAAGCCCTTCAACCCTCCTGGGTCTATTCATCAGGACAAGACTCATTTGGGAAGATACAAGTCTTTGTGCAGGACACATACGCATCCAAAACGTCACTACGATTTTGAGTGGAACTCGAAAGCCTTGACGCTTAGCCTCCCAAAACCGGGTTAAGCAGCGCAAGGACTTTATCTTTCATGCTTTCGGATGATGAACAGTAACAGGAAAATGAATGACCTTTTTTCTAATGAGGGAATTTCTTTCATTTTTGGATATAAAGGATAACTCGAGAGCACTCAAGTTTTTGAGTTGAAGAGTCTAGTGAGTCCAGCGAGACTTCATTTCGTCCTACCTGGTAATTTCCACTTAGGTAATGGGCACCTACAATATATTCAATTGAAAGTTTTACATGTCACGTGAAAAGGCCCAGATAATGAGAGTGTTCCAATGGAGGTAGACATGACAAGACCTAAGAAGCTATTCGC